TCGTAAAATATACTCCGAGTATGATCGAAATTGATTATTATTATTATTATTATCATATATATATATGTATATGCATGTATATATATATATATATATAATCTACTTTGGACTACGATTCAAAACGAATCCTTTACGATATAATTTGCTTTCGTTGTATTTTGCTTGTGAAACACGGACTATAACGTTCGTATTTAGAGAAAGACAAAAAAAAGAAAACAAAAAATATTCGATATTTACTTCTTTCAGTTAAAAACTTCTTTTTCGTTGTAAAAATTATAGTCCAAAGATCTTTGACGTTCTTACGTATGGATTGTAAGCGCATCAAAAAGATGTGCCTTCGTTCTCGCACGTTAACACATTTGGAATAACATTGAAGAAAGTTCAGAAAGAAAGAAACATAAAAAATAAAAGAAAATAAAAAGATAATCATGAGGCGGTCGCAAATAATAAATTGTGCGTTATCGATGGAGAATGAGACGCATATCCGCTGAAAAAAAAAAATTAAAAAATAATAAAAACAAAAAAAAAAAAGAAAAGAAAAGGAAACAAAAAATAACTTTCTTCATAGTTTTCAATGAGTGTGTGTATGTTTGTGTGTATATATGTGTGTGTGTGTGTGATTGATTTAGAAAGAACGAGTGGGAAGGCACGACTCTTCGAGTATTACGCAAGTATAATAGTATAAAGAGGTGTATGTAACGCGCATTTGGCGCCATATCGTCGAAGAAGAAGAACAACAGCCGTTCTTAACAGCGACGATTATTTTCGTTGGTGTCGCGTTTGGAGTCTCTTGTCGTTGGTCCTATCATCACGTTTTCGTTGCTAGGCGCTTTCTGAGTTTTGCGCTCCTCACGTATTTCCATGCCGAGTTTCCATTTGTCTTTACGACCGTGGGGAGATTACGAGAACCGTGAGATTCTCTCGTTATACTCTTCTTCTTCTTCTAAATGACGCATCCCTCCTTCTTCCTTCGGAACGAGAAAATCTCCCGGTACATTTTCTTCCATGCGAATTAACAACATAATATAAAGTCTCGTCACGGTCCCATAAAACGGACAAGAAGATAGAATAACACGCGGCACGAGTTCATATTAGATTCCTTGCTCTACTCGAATTTTGACAAACGGACGGGCGGAGGAGGGGCGGAGGGAGGGGCGGGTCAGCCGTTACTGGAAGACAAATTCTAATATCGTCCGTTCGTCGTAATTAGAAGGAGCATAGTATCTACGTTATTATACGAACTAATTCCGCGTTTGTCCATACTTAGAGCCATGTCAGCACGTTACCAGGTTTTATCGTATTAGGACTTATGAAACACTGTACATCCTCGAGAATGTCGCTACTGAAGTCTTCGCTAAGCTAAAATTAAAATAATATATTTGATTATTATGGTGTATAATAAACATAAATATAATAATAGATAATTTATTTTAATTAGATATTAAGTTTAGTTACCTGTAGCGATGGTACGAGATCGTCCGTCGAATCGATATTATCGCTCAGTGTTGAGAGATCGGGAGTCTCCATGGGAGCACCACCATCTACGAAACACGCATCGAATACTGCAAAACCGATCTTCCAACGATTTTCATAATGGACTAACAGCTTACCGCTGGTGCCGTCCATGTTATCGTCGATATTCGCTAGAAAATCTTCTGGAGTATGCGGTAACGAATATGCAGAGCCAAGACCCAAACCGCTATCTGCACTTTCCTGACGCGCATGTTGCTCGCTAATTCCTGATAAAAATGGATCCATAGCAGCCTCCGTGGTAGTTTGTCGGAGCATCAATTCTTGCTAAATGGTATAGAAGTAGCAAAGAGAGTTTAGTGGAGTTATATATTATACTATCGAAGTTGCTTTGATCAATTAAACAAAAAATAATTGTTCAAAGGAATTCAACCTGGCGCATGATCTCCTGTTGTCGTTGCTTCAGACGCTCGCGTTCCATTTGTAACGATTGAAGACGTAGTTTCTGTTGACAAACTTGCAATGATTGATTGTTAGGTATACCACCAGCCGTTGGTTGCTGTAGCCAATTTTGTGGCAGCATAGCACCGGAAGACGGGGCTCGTTGAAGATGCGTCGCTGAAAGATGAAAACACAGTTTAGTTATATATATATTATTAAGAAATAAAAAAGATAACGAAATACGACATATTGAAAAGACTTACGAATTCTGGGATCGAACCACGATGTTGTACGCGTCTGATGATTTATAAAATAAATCTCTCCCTCCGGTGTTCGTGCTTGTTCCCAACCATCCGGTAGAGGACCTAAAGTGTTCCCGGCAGCAGCAGCCTTTCCGCTTTCCACCTGAGCGGCGACTTGAGCCACGTTCTGAGCTGCGACAGTTTTTCGCGGATCTTCCCATGTCGTGGTTCGCGTCAGGTGGCTGAAACATAAGGTCGACGAAGTTTATCGAAGAACTTCTCTTACCCCACTACTCTCACTCTCTCTCTCTCTCTCTCTCTCTCTCTCTCTCTCTCTCTCTCTCTCTGTTTCTTCTACGTTCTCTCCCACATGCATACATGCATCCTTCCTTTTCCTTCCTTCCTTCTTCTTCTTCTTCTTCTTCTTCTTCTTCTTCTTCTTCTTCTTCTTCTTCTCTATCGTACGCGTTACGGAGAAGAGGGCGAACGCGCGCCACGATACGTACGTGGTTATCCGCATATAGTAGACTCGACTCTAAAAATAATTCCATTCAAAAGACGACACGAAGCGGTGTAACGGCGAACGCCGGCTGATACCCACGTAAGTTTTAGAGCCGCCTGCCTGCCTGCCTGCTTGCTTGCTTGCACTTTTCATTTCGAGATACGAGAAAGAAGAGGAAACGCGAGAACCAAGCCCGGAAGTGAAAACACTTTGGTCCAATATTTTTCTAAGCTTATCCATGAGCCAAGTTCCCCTCCCTCCTCCTTCATCGAGAACCACTCGCTTGCTTACTCACTCACTCACTCACTCACTCACTCACTCATTCCTCTCCCTCAAATTAAAGAACTCTTACGTTTCCAAATAAGACTACTGATCTACAGAGAGAAAAAAGAAATAGAAATATATATATACCTTTGTGTTCTTTGAAACGGCAAATAACTTTTTAAGAAGTAACATACATTGGTGGGGGTTTCGTTTAAGGCAACGCAAAAACATCGTGTTTCTCTCGTTCTTCTAACAAAAATAACTTACTAATGGCTGCGATCGCTACTCGATCAATTTTGGCTCTGATTCGTCGTAACTCCTTGCTTTTATCTTTATTTTACATGAAACTATTTAACTTTTATCATTTAGAATATTCCCACGGAATATTTGTTATAACTCTTTCAAAATACACCAAGAGGTAAACTAAATATTACGCCGTCAAACTATTTGTTGCTACGAAAGTATTTTATGTTGTCTCTTAATCGTTCTACAAAACGCGATACTATCGTAATTCTCACGTAAACATAACCGTGAATCAATTAGTTTTATTCGATAACCCATACACACGTTTAACAACGAGTTAACGTTTGTAATTCAATTCTTTTTTTTCCGAGTATATAGTTTGTTCTGTAGATATTTATAGTATAAGTAATATTAATGGTAAAAAAAATTAAAAAATAAATCATCGATCCGTAATCCAAAAAAATTGTCTCCTTTGTCTTATTTATTCTTTCTTCTCTCGTTTATCAAAACAATTTCCGTAAAATGGTAATATAATGCATACTCGAACACGTTTCAATTTTTATCTATCAAAAGAGACCACACGTTTTCTCGAATGGAACGAAAAAAATCGTGTAATATAATTTATAAGATAAATCATGCGCGCTGTGTATTATACATATAATACATTATTCTTTTCGAAGATACAGAAAAAAAAAAACAAAGAAAAAAGAACCAAATTATTTTGTATCTCGCAAAAGACAGGAGTTAAACGTTTCGAAAGATATTGAATGAAAATCTCTACTATGATTAAAGAATCATTGATCTATCGAAATTACCACCATGAATGGACACTATCGATGAGAAAGTTAGAACGTCCATCCACCTGTTTGAAGAGACACCTTGAACTATGCCACCACCGCCATCTTATATAACGAGGTACACAACCCGATCGAGTTGAACACGTGTTGAAAACAAGTACGATAAGCGAAATTCTATATGGTAGTAGTCGTTGTCGTCTCCTAAGGCAATTCATTTTTCAAATTAACCGAATTATCTTTCGTTGTCTTTTATATCTTACCAAGTGTATGTACGATGTCTTGTCTTTGACGATAAGAATTAAACGATATCTTTGTCTGTCGATCTTGTTTCGTCGCTTGATTGAAATACACGAAGAGGTGTGTTATCTTTATATATTAATAACATTTGAGAAAATTTCTTCTTGATTTTTTTATTTTCCTGCTCCCAAATGCAGAACATCCTACAACCAACCTCTAATGTAAATTTTAAAAAAGGCAATTTTTTCCTTTAGAAAGTAGAAAAGAAAAATCGTTTCTCTGGAAGAAGAAGATTTCTTTTCTCAATGGAGGAAAGAACGGAAAGAATAACGAAAAAGACACGCATCAATCATTTTTAATATTCAATCTTAAAAGGAATCAAAGATATCTCCGCCGACTATGATGCTTCCCTTTTTTAACTCTGCTTCGAATAATATTAGTTTTTTTCTTCTTTTTTTTCCTTTTTTCCAACAAAACGAAATATAACCCATCTACACGTACAATTCAAAATTATTTCTCAATATATATATATATATTTTTCTTTCGTGACATTTTTATATACATTACATACAGATATAAAACAAAATAATGATTTACCTTTCTTATAACAATATTAGACCACACACACGTATATAAACTTTCTTTTCAAATTGAAATTAAAAAATAACAATATGAATAACTTATTTTAACGGTATATACGTTAACAATGAACAAGGATCGTAGAATAACATAAACTAAAGAATAGACTAACTTCCTGTTGTGGGTTTCATGAGGAAAATTCAAAAAGAAAAAAAAAAAAAAAAAACAAAAAGGTTCGAAGAGGAAGGATTCGAAAAGGTTTGAAAATAATGAATAAGGATGAAAAAAAAAAACTAAAAAGTTATAGAGACAAAAAAAAAAGATAGACGGGAGACGAAAGAATGGCTAGTTTTCCATAGATCTCAGCAAGAGTCTCTGTCTCTTCTAAGAAGGTGAAAAAGAAGGATAGATAGATAGAATGAGACGGAAAGAGTGGGCCGCCGCGCGTTGCAGGATGCCTTGCCTCTCCGATGTGCTCCGAAAGCTTCGTGCCCGAATCTCTCTCTCTCTCTCTCTCTCTCTCTCTCTCTCTCTCTCTCCTTCTCTCCTCTCTCTCTCTCTCTCTCTCTCTCCTTCTCTCCTCTCTCCTTCTCTCTCTCTCTCTCCTTCTCTCCTCTCTCCTTCTCTCTCTCTCCTTCTCTCTCTCTCTTTCTTTCTGGGTAGAGAGAAGAACGAGCGGCTTGGCCGGGTTCCAAGCGTGCGGAGACGAACGGACCGCGCGTGCAATCTCAGGAGAAGGAAGAAGAGAGGAAGAACGGGAGGGGGAGGGAGGTTCGAGGACGGCGAGAGCAGAAGAAGGAGAAAAGAGATAGATAGATAGAGAGAAAGAAAGAAAGAAGAGAGAGAGAAAGAGAGAGAGGCTTTAGCCCGAGAACGTCGGAGAGAATCACAGGAGGGTTTCCGTGTGGCGCACGGCATACGGACTACGATGTATTTTTACTCCGGACATCACGGCGCCGGACAACTCGTAAATAGACACTCGCACCGACGCTCTCTTTCGCCTTTACCTCTCTCTCTCTCTCTCTCTCTCTCTCTCCTTCTCYCCTCTCTCTCTCTCTCTCTCTCTCTCTTTCTCTGTTTTTCTCTCTCTCTCTCTCTGTTTCTCTTTTTCTCTCTTTTTCCTGCCGCCACCGTCGCCACCACCGTCGATGCTTCCCTACGACTGTGTACCCTCCATTAAGATGGCGGAGGAGAGTCTCCCCCTCTCGTTGAAGCTAACCCTGAGTTAATCTACCAAAGTATCGAGTCCCGTTAAACTGTAAGCTTTTGCATCCTTCGATATCCCTTCTTTTCGCTCTCTCTCTGTCTGTCTGTCTTTAACAGACCGCTTATCTACAAACGTATGCGTTAATTAGCCAACAGATATTTCTTCGAAACACTTTACCGGGGGGCCTGCCCTGCTCTGCCCTGCCTCTGTGCATAATCTCTCTGTCTCTCTCTTTCTCTTGTTGAGAATATTCGTTCGATAGAAAATATCGCGCATGGATAATTTATATTAAACGTATTAACGTGCAATGTCTGTATATACTGTGTGAATAGTGCATTTTTTTTTATCTAGAAAGAATCATCTTTAGATAGGGATTATACTTTTTTAATTTGTTTTTTTTTTTTTACGTCGGATTATTATAATTGAAAGAATGATTAGAAAAAAGGGTGAAAGAGAGAGATAAATGAGAGATTTGAATTTTTGTTACTTTAACTCTCGATAAAAGATAAACATATATAATAAAGGATGAAACACGTTGGGATAAACAGCGATACACCTAACGATCAGAGAAGTACGTTGCCTTGAACTTTTGCTTACGGTCACTGTATTCCCGGAGATTCGTCCTCGTATCTGGCATTTGTCGCTAAGACTCGCGTACAGGTGTGTCCGCTCGAGGTCTTTAGCCTCGGAATGGGATAGTGGCGGACAGATCGTGCTCGCGTTCGCCTCTTTGCCAGGAACATTCGTTCCTTCGTTCGTTCGTTCGTTCGTTCGTTCCTTCGTTCGTTCTACGCAGTACGTTCATTTCGTTCATTTCGTTCATTCGTTCGTTCAAACGTCCTTCGAATTGGAACGGTTCTAAAAAAACTTTATGTCTCGGAGCTAAATGAATTATCCAATAATTGATAATTCATAAGTCTATCAATCATATTTTCTAAACACGATGAAATACACCATGGAAACGTATTTTCGAGGACGTACAACGACGAAATGGTAAAACCGCACGAGACGAGAATTCTCGTATGGATTAAATAGGGACACCTTTTATTCGCATACATCTTTTTTTTCTTTTTCTTCTTCTTCTTCTTCTTCTTTTCTTTTTATTCCTCTCCCGTATATTACGCGTTAAGCTTGATCTTTCCCTCTCTCTCTCTCTTTCTCTCTTTCTTTTCTATGCCACTGTACGAAAATTTATCGCTTTTATTTTCTACAACGATCGAAATCAACTAAACGCACGCGAACATCCATCTTCCGCGTCACAGAGAGATAAGTAGAGATAAGCCTTCGAGGCGTTCCACTTTTTCGCGCCATTTGTCTCTCACCTTCTTATAATACCATTTTTATTGGCAATAAAATAACAGAGAAAGAAAGAAAGAATAAGAAAGAAAGAGAAAAAAAAAATCAAATAAAAAT